CAATCTAGTACTACGCTTAAATTTGTAAAATCGTGGTACGAAAGTGGAAGGTTTAACAGAAAAATTCCCATGAAAATATTTATAGAAAATCCACATGGAAGCTATATAACGGCAATGGGAAAGTGAGTGAAGAAGTGATGCTAGGTCAGCACCAATAACATTGCAGATTCTTCCTTGGATTTTATCAAGGCTCTGGAAATACATATCAGAAATACCATACCAGATGTGGCAGGAATACTCAATAAATGGTTGAATGACAAATTTATAAATGCTTAAGATGAATTTGAGCAAGAAAAATGATCAGTGTTTGACAATATTAAAGAATACATCGACAGAATGTATTCTTTAATTTAGATTTAAACAATTTTTTCCTGTATAAAAATATATAAATCTGCAAAAATTTATCTTTGTACAAAAGATTTTCTAGTAAATAAAAGCAATTTTTTTTGGAAGCGTTAAAATTTACAAATTACTTTTTGCCTCAGTTCATCCTGACAAGGGGTCCTTTTCGACAGTAGTTGCCAGTTTTAATTTGTCGGGATAGTCAAACCTGTTGTAGTTGCTACTAAGACAGCAGTAAATAGTTGTGTCGTCTGCATAAATGTCTACTTGAGAACTGATGACATCGACTTATTTAATACAAAGTAAAAAAAAAAACAAAAACAAACCTAAAACAGGAAGTTACACAATAAGAGGTTTGAGAAAAATGTCTAGCGACTAATGCTATAAAAAGAAAACTACAACAGTATTTAATCTCCTTCTGAAGCTGCTCACTTTATCCAACGTCGTTTACATTGATGGAAGAATTTCTGGAATTGGTTTTGGGGAATAACGAACAGATGCCTCGTCGCATTCTCTTGCATTTCCTCGAAGTTTTGAAAACTTGTTTCTTTTAGGTAGGATTTGATTTTTGAAGAAGAAAAACCGTAATGGGGGGAGATCTACAGAATATGGTAGTTGTTTGACCTGCGGAATGTTATGTTTGGCCAAAAACTCCTTCGCAAGACATAGTCACCGATGGAAGCCTTGAGGTTTAGCGAGAAGACCACACACTACACACTTTCCTTGCAAGCACGGCTATAAACAAAGGAAGTGAGTGAGAAATTTTGTATGCGCGACCCCCTGTGTCAAGGTGCTTCACTCTACGTACTTTAGCTTCGTTAAAATAGCAGCAGACCGATACTTTTTGATTAGACATCGTATACTGCAATAAATGTCACGAAAAACACATAGCTGAGACATCTACGAATTTAAATAAAAATTTATATGAAAATGAACGGGTTTTTTTTTTATAAACAATACTCTCAATGTATCAGTTGTTCATTGAAATATATCTGACGAAAATGTTTTAGAATGCGGTTTTAAGTAAAAGAAGAAGTAATATAGTAACGCTTAAATATATAGAAAGTGCAGTAATTTCTGAAATTTCCACAGCAAATTTGTTAGGCTACACAATTGGGGATAATTAAAAACAACAAGGATTAAGACAAAGAAAAAAAAAGTGCCATGGAAGGCTGAATGAGATCGGCTAGTTTTCGCATCGGAAGCCAAAAATTTAAATTTAAGCCAAATAAATAAATAAATAAATAAAAGAAAAAGAAAAGAAAAAACCCAATATTTTTTACATTTCTCCTAATGCATAATTATAAACAACGTTTGTTTTTATTTTGTCCCTATTTCACAGCCGTGGCAGAAAAACAGAGAAGTGGGCATTTCTAGCGCTGTGGTGTGGGTGAGACATTCAAACGATCTGCTGACACGACACATGCAAAATACCGAGGGTGAATCAAATATTAATGCAGTTTGTTTTATTTTATAAAATATAAGGAACACAAATATATCGTACATCAAGATATAGCTAGACATCATAGGTTCACATCCTTACTTCTCGAAATAAAAAACCGGCTATTTAAATGGCAGTTTTTCATCTCCGAATGAGGACATGTATTCTAGCTTTTTTAACAGGTGACTGGTGATATACCCAATTCCTTACCGCAGTTTTTACTTCTTCATCACTGCATAAGTTAGCATCCCTCTGGTCCACTGAAAAAGACACTGATGGGAAATGTTATGCTGGCGATGAAGAAAGGAAAGCTGATGTAAGGAATTGGCTACATGAACAGCCAGTTGAATTAAACCTGAAATATATGCCCTTATTCGTAGGTGAAAAACTGTCAGTAAAAGAGAGGTGAACCTGTGATGTATAGCGTGATGTAAGATATGTTTGATGGTGTTTTTTTTTTATTTCTTATACAATAAAACAACTCACCCTCTTACCATCAAGAGATTGATGTCAAACAAGAATTGGAATCGATTAAAGCCATCACAGATTAGGGTTACTAAGTCCCAAAAAGATAAGCAATGTATTAAGAAACAGGAAATTTTCGTTAGAAACAAAGAAAAGAGGACGGAATTGTTATCAGTCTTCCTATATGGCAGTAAATACGGGACAATCACATCCCAGATGAAGAAAAACCTTGAAGCAACAGAAATGTGGTTCTACAGAAAGATGCTGAGAATAGCATGTGGGCAATGATGAAGAAAAAACAAAACAAAAAGAGCCCATATTTTACATCAGGAAAAAACAGATGAAATTTCTAGTCCTTGTAATGAGGGAAGAAGGTCTGGAAAATTTGATACTCACGGGATAAACTGAAGGCAAGTGGGACAGAGGAAAACAGCGCATAACCTACCTAGAAAGCTTGAGCGAATGGATGGCAGAGTAAGGTTTAGGAGAGATAAAATGGCAAAATTTATTAAGAGCTACAAAGGACAGGAAATTGTGGAGAGCCATGATCACCAACGTTCTGAAGGAACACAGAGAAGTAAATGTTTCCAACCATCATAAATATATATGATCGTAATATTCCAATTTGGCTTATGGTCATACCACGTTGAAATACTGGTTCTTACAAGTTAAGCAACGTGAAGCCTAGTCAGTAGCTAGACGAGTGTCCGCTCGGGAATACCAGATGCTGTGAATTTGGATGCGCGATTTTGGGGTGAGATAATGAATGACGACTCTAAATGAGAAATCGAAGTGACGAATTTAAATACCAGTCGGATTTCTTACATTGGCAAGTACTCTCTGATGACCATGAATTGAAAAGAAATAAGATCCCCCAAGCGTGTCTGCCAACCCGCTTTAGGACAACTAGGCCGGCCCATTCCCTCCCATGATCAAGAAAAGTCCTTCACAGGATAAGATGAAGAATATTTATAATTACTCAATGTATTCTTGAGCAAGTATTTTTTGTAATATTTATTTATTTTTATTATTTATTATTTATAAGTCATTTCAATTCTTTTCCAATCCTTTTAACGTAGCTTATGTGTAACTTTTCTCTAAATAATTTCATTCTTAATTGTTCTGGGCAACTTATTTCAGTGGCACCTAAATTTTGTGAATTTATGAATTTTAAGTAGATTACTGGCAAGGTCTCATCATTTGACAGTTGAAATGGCTAGCTGTAACCGTAAGTTCTATGCTGAGAGTTTCTTCTATGGCACTTATCGCTTGTGGAATTCTCTCGCGGCTTTTTGTTTTTTCCAGACAACATTGATCTTCAAAAATTTAATTATTTATTATTTATAAGTCTACCATTCGCTCATAGTAAGGATATTGCTCCCACATATGGTCTGGTGCTCCTGATGTATATTTAGAGATTCATGATAAAATCTAAAGAAGGATCAGCAATATTATTGGTCCTCCCCTGGCGTCTCGGCTTTAGTCACATTACAGTCATCTTAATTTAGATTCCTTCTGACATTACTATCATCGTAATTGTTCAGATGAACTCTTCGCTGTGATACCTAGAGTTTATGAATTTAAACGCATTACTAGATTGGCGGCAAGGTCTCACCAATTTACAATTGAATTGGTTAGATGTAACCGTAAGTTCTATGTTCTCGCACATCTCATTTTCCAGCCAAATTTGGTCTTCAAAAATGTCAATCGTTATCTACTGCCTTACTGATTCCTTTTCTATTGTTCTTTGCTCCTTAATAATGTTTCTCTTTTATTTTATTTTTTCCACTCAGTAACCCCTTGTGTCTTAGTGGCGTTATTGCTTTGCTTGGGATGAAATGATTAGAAAACAAATTTAAATGCAATATCAATCGTTATCTACTGTCACTTGGTTTAATCTTTTATTGCTCTTGCTCCTTAATAATGTTTCACTTTTTTCTTATTCTTTCACACTCAGTTAACCACTTGTGTCTTAGTGACATTACTGCCTTGCATGGGGTGAAATGATTAACAACAATTATAATTGGTTTTAATATGTTTAATTATTTTAATTATTTCTTAATGTTCTCTATAAAAATATTCTTTAAATTTATTACTAGTTTACTGTTGGATATCACCATTGCTCAAATTCTTGCATGACGTCTATGACTGTGCTAGACTCTGGCACGTCTTACCAACAGACTTCTCTATCTCATTTGCTTTTGCTCTGTTCCTTTTCTTCAACTTTCCCCTTTCCATTGACCTTTCTCGGTTTCAAAGTTTCTTTCCAAGAGATTTTCTTACTTTTCATGTTTCACACTCGTACGTCAGAGCTGAAAATATACATTCATTACACATTATACGTTTCCAGCATATTGCCAAAGTATATTATATGATGACTCTATTTCTGTTAAATGCTTTCCACCCTATCTCATTATACAAAGTTTTATTTTACTTTCATGCTATTTTCTTAATGATATTAGCTGTCCTATGAATATGCATTCCTGGATTTTTTCCAGCTCTTTATCTTCTTATATATATATATATATATTCAATAGAAGGGAGTGTCTCATATGTCTTTTAGCGGTGATCAAGCATGATTTTATTTTTTACGATATATATATATATATATATATATATATATATATATATATATATATATATATATATATATATTGAACTGTATAGTCACAACTGATGTCACGCCTCAAGCGATCTTCACACTATATCTATGTCCAATATTAATGGTTCTTCCTTCATAAGCATAACAATTTTAAGCAATATAATGATAGATAGATAGATAGATAGATAGATAGATATATGAACAGACTGAGATAGATAGATAGATAGATGGATAGATAGATAGATATGAACAGACTGAGATAGATAGATAGATAGATAGATAGATAGATAGATAGATAGATAGATGACTGAGATATGAACAGACTGAGATAGATAGATAGATAGATGATAGATAGATAGATAGATAGATAGATATGAACAGACTGAGATAGATAGATAGATAGATAGATAGATAGATAGATAGATAGATATGAACAGACTGAGATAGATAGATAGATAGATAGAGAACAGAATATGGTAGATAAGAACAGAATGAGCTAGTTAGCTAGATAGGTAGATAAATAGATAGAAAACATATATATAGATATATACTAAGATAGATAGATAGATAATAGTCTGTTATAAATAGATAAGAACAGAATGAGACAGACAGATAAGAACAGTGAGATAGATAGAAACAGACTAAGATAGCTAGCTAGATAGATAGATAGATATGAACAGACTGAGATAGATAGATAGATAGATAGATAGATAGATAGAGAGATAGATAGATAGATAGATAGAAACCAATAGACACGGATAGATATGAACAGACGCAGACACATAAATAGATAGATAGATAGATAGATAGATAGATAGATATGAACAGACTGAGATAGATAGATAGATAGATAGATAGATAGATAGATAGATAGATAGATAGATAGATAGATTGAAACAGTGTAGACCTGGACAGAAACTGATACTGAGGATAAAAACTGATATTGTTTGAAGATCGCTTGAGAAGTGAAACCGCCAGTAAACACACAGTCTCATTTCTATGTCCTCTCCTATTTCTCTATATCTCTATCTATCTATATATTTTATCTATCTATCTATCCATCTATCTATCTATCTACACACACACACACACACACACACACACACACACACACACACACACACATATATATATATATATATATATATATATATATATATATATATATATAAACTTACTTAGGTTTTACTGGCTCTTTATCATTTATTTTATATATATATATATATATATATATATATATATATATATACTACAAGTCATTATATTAGGTAGACTTTTCTAGAACCGATCTGAAACTCTTCTTTGTTTGGTTTTGACGATGCATACTTTCGAAATTTGGGCAAATGCTGTTATAATCGAATCTCAGAATTCTTTTAGATTGGTTAGTAGTACGGCCAGCATTTGAATCTTTCTTTGCAACACATCCTAAAAGTGCCCTAAGGTACTGTCCTCCGCTGACTTTGGTGGCCATTTTATTAAAGAAAACACATTTCTGTTTTTCATTAACCAATCTGCACTATTTTGATTTGCCACACGGTGTGATGTCCTGTTGTCACAAGTAGACGGGTGCAATGTTGACATACATTAACGAACGACATGAGCCAAAATGCCTCGGTTGACAAACTGCCTTTAAACGAATTTTTATGTTGCAAGAAGATCTGTGTTAAATTTAATATTTAAAATTTTTAGCGTCCAATGTATCTCGTAGATTTATAACCTCGCTGGCCACTTTAATCTTCACATTGCTTTTATTTATTTATTATTATTGTTGTTGTTGTTTATTATTATTATTATTGACAACTTCCTTTAAACGATCTTTTATTTGTAACAAGCAGCGCAATTAAAGCCCCCCCCACCGCCATTCTCTGTAACATTACACCATTCACACCAACCTGTACCAGTGATGGATCAATAATCTCATGCTACATGCGTCACATTGTGACCCTACCATCCAAAAGTCACAGCAGAAATCGAGACACGTAAGACCAGGTGACATTTTTTTTATAATTCCCTATTGTTCAATTTTTATTTCTTGTTCTTGTCTGACATGAATGGCACCGGATGTGGTGTTCCGCTGCTGTAGCCCAATTGCTTCAAGGATCGGGTTGTGTGTTCAGAGCCTTGTAAATAGTTGGTAGAAAAGGGATTGAGAGGAATAGCAAAAAGATGAATATTAACCAAGGCCAACAAAAGACAGGAAATTGTGGAGAGTCATGATCGCCCACATCATGAGGAGACGAAGTATATTATCGGACTTTCTCCTAACAAATTACATATATGTATATTAGAGAAACTGTATGACAAAGTGGAAAATGTTTACGTCATCGGATTAAATTTTGTTATGTTGGTAGGACTACACTTGAGCGCCTAGACAACCAGCAGAACAAAATTGAGTCTGATGAAGTCCTGAAGGAAGGAACGTGTCACAATAAACATTTCTCACGTTATCATACAATTTCCCCAATACTGTTCTTGATATATAAACATATATCGTTATATATTAAGGAGGTACGGTGGGGTAATGGATAGCGGCTTGGATTGAGGAATTGGAGAGCCGAGTTTGAATTCCAGTCGAATCCATTACATTCACTTAAGTGCTAATACCCCTGGGGAAAGGTGTGAATCCTCTTCTCCTTCCAGCTATGGGTTCTATAGCCTTGGATGGCAACTGGTCTAGGAGAAGGATAACTCTGAATTCAAAACCTGCGGACCTTGTGGCTCGTAGTGCGCCAGGTCTCTGTATTCGGCCCTTCAAAACGTGTGGATGGCCCTGCACGAAACCTTTACCACTATAATCAAATCTCATGTGCTCAGATCAGATTGACTCTCATACGTCGAATTCGACGGGGGAGTCGAATATATATAGAGTCTGTCTTTAATACGCAAAATCTTCCCAAAACAAAACGCTTTCCATGCCGGAAGATGATTGAATGTACAGCCGAAAGTACTTGCGTATTAAACAAAGATCTTATACAGATTATAATGTTTAAAAACAAGGATCGTCGAGTGATTTGTAGGTTAATGCCCCTTTAAAATTTTGTTATCGAAGGGATTTCACTATTTTATATCATTAACTTTACTAATCTACTTTTTGTATGAACGATTCATTGTAATATAAATTGAACTGCATCACATATTTGATATATATATATATATATATATATATATATATATATATATATATATACGCTACAATTCTAAAGAAGACACCCACAGCACATGAAAGAAGAGTGAAAAAAAATAAACAAATAATGAAATCAAACAGCAAACTTATACTTTGAGAAACCTTTGCAACAAATGCCAAAATTTTGTGCTGCAGTAATCAAGGTTAAAGGAAGATATTTTGAAGAGAGCAGAATTTAATCATAAATTGCTTTTTTCTTTTTGTTATAATATATATATATATATATATATATATATATATATATATATATATATATATATATATATATATATATATATATATATATATATATATATATAGAACGTTCACACTCTGTCCATGAGACCCGGGTTCGAATCTCACCATGGTCGATTTGGCAGAAAGGAGACTTGCTGATGTTATCGGACTGGTTAGATTTCAACGCGCGGCAACCTTTGGTACAATTGGGTGCTATCGATAGCTGTACTATCACGAAGTCACAAGTCATCGTGACTTATTCAAACAAGATAACACGGTTTCACCCAGAAACTGAGGTTCACTCAGCATAGTTGCTGTATAAACCACAGGTAGGCTTTGTTCCTTGAACAAACACCCACAGAGCGTACAAACACAAATGCGCCTGATCAAGCGTCTGCAATAGGGATAGAAGACGGGTATCCTCGAATAGGATTAGCCAGCTTTACATATATGAAAAACATTCATTTTTTTCAAAACATAAGCATCAACACGTGGAGATAGAAACAGTTAAATCCTTTTTGAGAAGCTAAGCGAAACCGGTTAAAATAAAAATTAGTAAAACAACAAATTATTTTTCTAAGAAAAAACACTGAAAAATTAATTGTAAGTAACAAAATTTAAATTCTTCTCTATAAAAAAGTCATATATATATATATATATATATATATATATATATATATATATATATATATATATATATATATTAGTACACTAGTGAGTAAAAATATATGACAAAGTGGAAACAGTTTTCTTGTGACGTTTTTCGTTCTTTGGGACTTAATCGGAATAAATTTTTCCACTTATATACATATATATATACTATTTACATTATTCGGACTGTTGTCTTCATCTTTGTTGCCATAATTATTACAATGTTTTGGCTGTTTTACGCTCCGGCCTTCTTCAGGTGGTTGCAATGTCGAAGTGAACCGTTTATTTCACTCACTGGGGTAGACTGTTCTAGTTCCACATGCCATGTTTAATGGATATCAGTTATCAGTTATCTCCTGTTAATTCCCCTCTCCAAGTTCTCCACTGCCATAACCGGGTATTGAACTCACACTCTTTGGTTCCTGTCATTGGATCTAACCAACGCCTTTATCCACTGTGACATGTAATAAATATGGCGACAAAGACAATAGTCCGAATAATGTAAATAATGTACATAATACTTCATCTCAGAAATATAGAAATACTGAAGGGCCGAAACGTTGTAATAAATATGGCGGCAAAGATGAGGACAATAGTCCGAATAATGTAAATAGTGTACATAATAATTCATCTCAGAAATATAGACAGATACTGAAAGGCCGAAACGTTGTAATAAATATGGCGGCAAAGATGAAGCCAATAGTCCGAATAATGTAAATAGTGTACATAATACCTCATCTCAGAAATACAGACAGATACACACACACACACACACACATATATATATATATATATATATATATGTATACAGAAAAAATACAGAAAAATATAGAAAGAGAGAGTATGTGTGAACGAGAAAGCGATCGTGAGAAGGAGTGAGTGAGATGTGCACATTTCTTGCAGTTTATACTAGCATAAAATAAGAAATACGTAGCCTGTTTTGCGGTTATGTGAATGTTAATCTGAAATATTTGCTCTGTAGGTCCATATTACGCAATGACTACAATATGATCAACGTTTTTCATATCCACCACCGAATTAAATGCATTCACCAAAGATGGAACTATGTTGAAAGATTGATTAATAAATAAAATAATACAAAATAAAATAAATGACTAAATAGCATTCATTCATTTTGTGAGTCGTCGTTCCCAATGGCCGTTAAACATGACGTCACGCTAGACCATATCCAACGTCCAACAAAAAATAACAGGATGTAGACAAAAGAATTCTAACTACCACACAACATCTGTTCTTGATAATGACTGCGATAAACGAAAGTACTTGAACAAAAATAATTAAAAAAAATGAACTTCGAACACTTTATCTACAACTTCGAGTACTAGTAGCCAAGAAAAAGTCATATATTACATTGGACATATGTAATAAGGTTTTATAGGACTAGTAATATTTTTATACACACAGGAAACAAAAGTTATCTTGTAGAAAAACATGAAAAAATAATTAAATACCGCTAAACATTGTTTGATGTTTTTTTTCGTTCATACCTGGAATTAATTAAATATTGCAATTAACTTTTGCTATGGCAGTACCTCCGTCATATCACTAAGAGGGGGAACCGGAAGTAATATCGATGTCAGAGCAACGGAGCTGGGTTATTTTGAGACATCCTTATAAACAGATGTAATGACTGCTGAATCTTTGAATGAATTCGACCATCATTGACGAGTTTGATTCATGGTTTCCTATTTCGTGAGAACTTGAAGCCAGCAAGTGACTGACAATGCTCATTGCAGACACGACAAACTAAGCTGTTTGCTGTGGGCCTAGGCTATTTTGGAACCTGGCCCGGTTTCACACGCACGTGCTGCCTACATTAAACTGACCTTGTGTCACATGCTGACAGTGAGGAGTGGCAAGAAAAGACAATCGCTTCTCGACTTTTAGGCTAAGATCAAAGTGTTGTATCTGTTCTTATCAGTTGAATATGATTTTCTCTTTTGCAAGGCTTCATTTTTGAGGACTGAGCGTGTGGAGAAATTGTCCATATTATTTCCTTTCTTAACTGTTACTTGCTGATATATTATTCATTTTCGTGGTTGGGGGAAATTTATTTATTTTACATGATTCTTCCCTCCCTTCTTTATTTCTTTCATATTCTCACTGAAACCAAGTGGTGTCTTTTCCCCTCTTTCTACGCGTTAAAAACGGAATAGTCCTTTATTTATGAGATATTGGCAGGACGTAACGGTCGTGTAAACTAACGAAGGCAGGAAAAACACAATTACAAGGATATTTTCTTTTGTTTTCTATAATGTGTCATCTGAAAGGGATTTTCTGTAGTAGTAATTTCATATTTATTAAAGTTTTTGCTTAATTTCGAAAAAAAAATCATGAAATTGAGCTCCTTTTAATAAGAAGTGCAGATGGGAGAAGATCTGTTGATTTTATGAAACCTTTGCAACAAATGCCAAAATTTTGTGCTGCAGTAATCAAGGTTAAAGGAAGATATTTTAAAGAGAACAGAATTTAATGATAAAATGCTTTTTTCTTTTTGTTATAATGAAATTTATAATGAAAAATCATGTCTCATTTTTTTAACCAAGTATAATAGTTTTGTTTAATTTAAAGTACAGAAAATACCATGACTAGATTCAAGCATTTGAACTAGTGTGTGTGTGTGTGTGTGTGTATTTGAGTTATATATGTGATATCGTGAACAGTACTACGGAAATTTTATGATTAAAAGGTAAAAGATTACTTGTTACAAGATTCGTCCTTCAACGGTCGGGGTTCGATTCACGATGAATTAATGATACTTCTTCGTTAATGATACTTACATAAAAGAGAAGTTTCTTCTGCATTCCCCATATATATATATATATATATATATACATACATATATTAATAAAACGTATTAATAAATGAAAATACCAATCCTAAACATATATATATATTAAAGCAACCATACCTTCAAACAAGGAAGATTCATTTAATCTTTTATTGAATTTTTTCCTGCATCTTTACATTTTTTTCGTTTTCTGGGGTTTTATATATATATATATATATAGATAATATTATAAATTAACTGAATTAAAATATGGTTTATTCGCTTAGAGATGAAACAGAACTAATGCTTTTAAATTAATTATATAATTAAATTTGAAGTTTTTAGCTCCAGTTTTTAAAACATGGTTATTACTGTGAAGCGAAGAAACCATATTGTAAATCAGTTAATTTATAATATTTATGCTCTGCGAATTTACATTGAGCACTCTTTTGTAAAAATAAAAATAAAAAATATCAATAAGAACACCGGATTATCTTACTGTTCATTCTTTTTATTTATATATATATATATATATATATATATATATATATATATATATATATATATATATATATATATATATATATATATGTGTGTGTGTGT